GAAAGAGAAACTAAATCGAAGCTAAACCGCCCCCGAAGGCCTCCCTCTAGCTTACCAGTTGCGCGCACCACGAACAAAATAATCCGCTTCGCGAAGCATGGGAACACGTAGAATTGATTTATTCGTGAAAACGCGCCACTGGAATCTGTATCGATGACGTTCCCACAATCGAGCCGCGATCGATTCAATCAGTGCAGCGTTTTTAACCCCCTGAAAGTTGCCAAACTCCGGGATCCGGGTCGCGCCGTGGCGGGACTAAGTTAATTACCAGAATTAATGTGGACCGACGGCGTTAATCCAGGCACGGCACGCGAGCCAATCAAGTGGCCAGATAAGAATTAAATGGTATCGAACAGACGCCTCGTTAGCCGCGTCGTGTCCGAACATAAATTCAGCGTTAAGCTGCTCCGCTCGGTGGAGGCATCGTTACGCGCCCGTGTCCGAATGGAATTCCGTATCGGCAACCATCTCTCGAGCCGCGCGTATTTCAATTGTAATCTGGGTTATTCATCGATATATTATTGTTCACCGAACGCGGCTGTACGCGTGACGTGCATACGCCGCGCTTTTATGTCTTCCGTTTCGACGTCCGCATCAGGGATGGCGGAAAAAAATTCTAGCGCCAACTTTGCACGCGGATTTTGGAAAGTTTTTTAAATCGGGACGGGTGGAACAAAGAATAATGGATGTGAAAGGTATATATTAAAAATGATATACTTGAAATATTATAGAATTGTATTTAGGGAAAGAACATACGAATATTGTACAAAGAAATGTTTGTAATTCGAGAAATTATTTAATATGATTCAAAAGTGGATATTTAACGACTCGTGAAATAAATAGTTTTACTTTATTATATTAATATGCAGCAATGAACGAGAAATTGTGACAACCCTGTAACCGCTCATTTCTTTGTTTTTTGTGTAATATTTAGTGTGGCCGTATTAATATAAATAAATAAATATGATTAGATACTTCACAGTTAATATAGAATTAATATAGAACTGTTGAATAGTGCCTCGAACTCCACAACTTCAAGAGTCTACTTAGAACTGGAATTTAATTTATTTTAAATAGTGTATTTTGTAAAGTCATCTTCCTCTGATTACTTTCTGGTTCTTACGTTTGCTGCCACGAGAGTTTCACTCACGAGTGAAAATTTCCAAATACTGTTCGTATCGTCGATAGGTTTGTAAGTAGATAATTTCACACGACGCAATTAGTCACTGTTACCCCAAGCAGATCGGTGACAAAGAGTGCTTTGTCGCGATTAAACGATATCGACAGTTAGATGTACGCATCACCGCCGAGGTAATAACGGTGATCGAGTTAATCGATCGACGGACCCCGATCACTATAATTTTCTCCTTTTTCAAAGGCACGCTGCGGAGGTTCGCCAGCGAACGCCCTAGGTGGTCGATTGGCTAATCATAATGATCGTACTAGAGGATGAATAATGACTTTCCAGTTTGAATGGGTCGCCCCCACCACGTATTACGATCTGATGAATTTCCGAGGAATTGCGATCTCGAACAATTTGAAACTTCCTCGGTCGATAGCGCATTAATGACCTGAGGACGATTAAACATAAATAGGGAGAGAGGGGAATCGTTTACGTAACCTTTACGACTCCATTGAGTGATCTCACGAAAGGACTTTGTTAAAGAAATGTCTGAAGCGAGCAGTGTGCATACAAAATTGTTAAATAATTTATTCCTGTGTTTGAATTGTTTTTAAATTCCATCTCGTATAGAATAATGGCCTAGTTTACATCGTAGAAACATTTTATACGGATATCAAGCTGATCCGAAGTAAGCCTTAGATACGCTCTTGTTTACATCGATCGTAATGAGTCACACAGGTTAGACTTTTAAATACGAATAAGGGCTTTGAATGCTGTCACGATAGCTGTGATGACAGTTGTCTTTTTTTTTTTTTTTTTTTAAGAAACATACGTATATCAGCGTTTACAGCACGGTGAGAATATTTAATTGCCATTCTGATACGCCACCATTTACAGCATCGATACCAAATAATTTAATATACATATAGTTCTTAATATAATATATTTCTTAGACTCAGCAGTTGGACCAATGGACGTTTGCTCAAAGTTTCATGAAAATCGGCGTCAGACAGTGTTCCCTTTTGAATACAATTTCAAAGCAATCCTTTTAGGACAATATTTTAAGGAAACATCGTTTCCCCCCTTTTTAATAAAAGTAAAAATAATTATATTTCTATTTGAATATCAATGGAATTTCTTGGATGTAATTTACTATTCTATGCATATAAATTCCGTATCACCAATCAAAATATTTTTTACGTACGCAAGACTGCATAAACGTCTACATTAGTGTGCATTACTTTAAATATTTTCACTTAACAGTAACCACTGGAATTGCGGCGAACAGGTTCTATTTATTTCGAAGATTAACGAGATTATGCTTAGCATCACGTTCATATATTTCTCTCTAAATGCCAAGGAAGAGTTTCTTGATTCCTAATCCTGTTAGTACATTTTAAATCAACCACGTGAAATAACGCAACAAGTTAATTAGAATGATAAGTCCGCGAATTTATCGATTAATTTGACGTAAGAGCGTGAAACGAATACTGCTGAATCGACGATTAGAAAGCGAGCATAATAAATGATTCTAGCGACGTCCAGAATCTAATCGCGCCGGCTAATAACAAGCCTGTAAACACAACGTCACGATCGTAAAGTCCATAAAGCCGTGGGTATCTTTACCACGGCATAGTAATCCCAATCCGTACGAGTTCATTTTCTGGTGCCCCGAGGCGTCTATCGTTAACCTTTAATTACAGGGCGGACCAGGCGTCTAGATTTATCGCTAATAACGCGTGGCAGACACTAGGTTCCACCTTGTAGGTCGCAGAACGCCGTCGAAATGACGCTCACACATCTGCGAATACGTACGTGACTCCAGTAATTGCAAAATTCTCTAAAATTTTATTTAAGCGAATTAATGTCATTGATTAATTTCATGTAATCATAAAGAACATTTAACACTGATAACAAGTACTTATTAGGTAGAGGAGATCGCGCTCTTTAATTTGCATTTTGCTAGAATCGAATCCGATAATTCCACTTTGAGCCTCGACGATTCAAAGTTTTCTAGTTGATCGATTATTATGAATGAAAGATTGGCCTTGTGACCTACATAAGTTCCTGGAAATGCGTACGCGCTTCCGAGAAGTAGAAAAAACCACAAACGCCGCGTCTGGCGTTTTTTTCTTGGAAGGGCTTGGCAACATTCATTGGCGTATACATCAGATTTTCTGTGGATTTCTGTCTCATCGACAGATTTCCATTGGCGTAACTATCAATCTTTTAATCTTTTCGTTCGCTTCAGAACTTAGTTTGAATTGTATTTATGTTTTGGTAGGGGATACAATTTCGGTTTTTTTACACGCCTCTATTTTTTGACTTTAATATATCTTGAGTATTATCATGATTGCTTCTTGCATTTTTATTCTTTTTCCTCTCTACATTCAAAACCTGTAAAAATTTCAAGAATTGAGTAAGATAAATCTTTTAAATAATTACATTCCATACAAACAAATTCCTACGAGCTTTTCGTCTGTCTTCAACGATAAACAAAGATTCGATGAAATAATAATCGTCGTATAATGACAATTTCGATGCAACGTTGACTGTGACTAAAACTTGCACTAAAATTATTTTTCCCTATCGAAAGATAAGTAATCGACACAGTGCAAATTGCCTGGCTGTTTTCTTAGAAATATCGACACAAACATTTCGGTTGGTGAAACGGATCGTTCGACGATCGATCGCCAAACAATGGCGCCGAAGAGCGGACCAGCGGCTGTTCCGCTTTCCACCGTGGAAATAAAAAGGACGCCACGCTCCTGGAGAACGAGGACGGCGCAATTTAATTGTAGCCGCACTTCCGTCCGAAAACGGATACCCACTTTCTGGCGTCGCCGCTGCGAGGCAGAACTTTTATAACAAGCCCGCCTGCCGGCCGTTTTCCCAGCACACGTACACATCGTTCCTAGAAAATTTCGAGCCTTCCTCGGTGAGGGAACACTGTCTGACGCCGATTTTCATGAAACTTTGAGCAAACGTCCATTGGTCCAACTGCTGAGTCTAAGAAACCAACTGTATTAGTCGATTTAATGAAAACCTCTTGCATCGTAGCCACCTTCGTGTCTTTATGTCAGACTACATCATTTCTGAATGTACCAGCGTGAATATACAGCTCAAAATCGGGACTGTCGTCCGAAAATTCTGGATTTTAGGAGGGTTGGGGTGTTGTGAGGGGTGGATTTGTCCGAGAGGGATTTCAGGGGGTGTATTCTGTAGAGGGCATCAAGGAGAGTCGCACCGAAGGTCTTTTTGATTTTGTCAACCCCTTCCGTCACTCCTGGAACCTTCAGAAATCTCGTTTTCCTGCACCAACCCATTTATGGGGGTGAATTAACTCTCGTCAATGCAACTTTGCACACACCCAGAGGGCACTTCAAAACTACTCCTGACGAAGTTTTACGAAAATCGGTTGGAAACTCCCATATTTATGACGTTTTGAAGAAGTGTCCCCTTCTTTCTGAAGGTCAATGTATTTTGGTGATCATTATTGAAATGAAAAACGAATTATGTTGTTTATTTACTCCGTCGTTATTTAATTTTAAAGATATGCAATAGATGCACTCTAGCAGGTCTCTCGATTAATTTTGACTTGGTTTGGTTTCTTTGGGTGACTTTCAAAATTGATTTACTCTAGCTTCATAATGAAAAGTCACATCACCAATCTATATGTGTATGTGTCAATATGAATCTGGTATAGTATGAGATAGAAAACGATATCAGAGCATATTCTCCACTCTCCCCTCATCACCCTAACGCCGCAAGAATACCTTCTGAACTGGTGCAGGGCTGCTATAAAATTTAAATGAAATGTATAAGATGAAAAATGTTGAACCATGATACTAACTGTGTCTTCATGTGATTTGTATAGATATGCCTGCTGGGCCTCGTTGTGAGCGACAACAGCACGATCGGCGACTCAGTCATCGAAGACGCATCGGAAGTCACAAACACAGGCAACAACCCTGACGCAGACTCGGGTGAACAGGTAAGAACATTCCACAGTCTTATTTATTTTGTAAATATCCTAAAAATATTCTTTCATAAAATAGATTCACTAAAGAGATTACTGAACGAACTATTTTTAAACATTCCTGCACAGGAATCTCAACCAAAAATATACTAAAAAAAATTCTTAAATGAAATATTCCTATTACATTCTCCTACAAAATATTCTGTTATAAAATAATAATTTCTATATAAAGTATTCCTTCATGTTGAATAAAACTTTATTTAGGAGTTAAGCAAAAACGGCACTTTTGTTCAAACGATAACTATTTATTCTAACGCACAATTTGAATATTCGCACCTGTTTACATTTCTCATTTACTTCTCTATCACTTCTGAGCCTCTCTCTACGTGCGCAGTCCTTTTGTTTTTCTCTCGCACATTCACACTCACATTCTCAAGCAGACGGGATACATACCTATCGCACTGACATTTCTTATTCTATACGACGTACAGTATATATGTATTACACTTTCCAACACTTCAGAAACTATTTCAATATTTCTTAAACTCCTAAACCTCAATCATCGTTTCTTTCATCCGTAACATTCTCTCTCCCCATCAATTACGATTCAACAAGATTCCTCGTCGAAGATAAACGCGCCACTTCGGAAAAACGATTCCAATAGCGATCGTGCACGGTGCCCAACAAACAATTACCACGGAAACGATAAGCTAACCGTGGCCTGTCGAGTCAAAAGCTTAATTCCGAAGTTCCAAGCGAAACCACCCCTATCGCCACTCGATAAGCTCGACGACAGGGGATCGCTCGAACCCCTCGACTCCCAATATAATTCCCTCTCGCGGCTGAAGTGGGGCAAATTGAAGCATCAATCCCATCCGAGCGGGAACGTCTCGCACGCGTCACGGACCGTGTATTTCGTCGGTTTTCGCGCTCGTACCTGTGGATTTCAGGAAAGAATAAGAGAGCCAGGGCGTCGTTGGAGACGTAGGGAAAATAAACACTTTTATTCATGCCAGCCAGCCGGAAATAGGTCGCGGAAACCTTTACACCAGCGCTGAACATGGCGGGGCTTGTGTTTCCCTCGCTCCATCTTTCCGCGTTTTATTTTCTTTCTTTTATCTTCTCTCCTGGGCAAAACACCGTGCACCGGACTCGCGAAAAGTCTTTTACGCCTCGCGAGGCCTCCTCGTTGCCCTTTCGTGCTCTGTTTAGCCAGGCAGTTCGTCAACGGGACTTCCGGCGTCTTGCGCGACTCGACTAATTTCAAGATGACGTTGCGGACACGCTCTTGGGAACACCTCTTTTTCCGGGATTCGGTCGCGAAACGGGTCCACGACTCATGGCGAGTCCCTTCTTCGTGGACTCATCGAGTCTTCGCTTCACATAATTCCGCCTTAAATGTATCGTGCATGTATATTTTTCCGAGCTGCGACGGGTCAATTGTATTCGTCGTTCTTTGGTCCCGATTTTCCTTTGTTCCTCGTCCGATTTGGATGACAGGCATAACCAGAAAACATTTTCAGAAATGTTTTATAAATGTTATATAAAGGAACATTTCGTTAAAGTATATTTTAAGAATATTTTATACAATTATTAAGGTAACTTTACGAAATATTTTATAGAACATTCTTAAAATATTTAGTAGAATTCTCAAAAAGTACTTCGTAGTAGTACATGAAACTACATTTTATAAAATATTCATAAACATTGAAGAAACTGTAAATAGAAGAATCGCAGGGAGATCAAGATAAAATAAGCAGAAGATAAATATTCTGCAACATTCCTTCCACGGAGTTATCCTACAATATTCTATAAGCTACTCTTTCATAAAATATTATCAAAGTGCTCCATAAAATATTGTCTTGCTATTCTCGAAATATCCCTAAAATATTCTTAAGGTATTCCAAGTAAAATAAACTTAATTCATCCATCTATAAAACACTCCAGAAATATCATCAAAGCATTCGAAATAAATACATGCTTCTTCTTTCTTAAACAGTAAACTCTTAATTAAACAATTTATCTGGAACACATCTGGAATACATCCATCAAAGGCCATCGATCCGCTCTTATCGCGTGCCTAGCTAAAGAGCGAGCTCATTTTCCTCTCGTTTTATATTTATATCGCAACTTTTTAACGAAGCATCTTTCGAAACAGGTTCACGTAACACCTTCCTCTCGTCTCCGAGCACGCCTCGCGAAACTTTCGGAGACCTCAGTCGAACGCCACTGGTCCCCTTAACTGTTATCGCCTTTCCTCTAAAAAAAATTCTCCTTTGATAGACGCACCGTGTTCGAAGGTAGTAATTTCTGTTTTCTTTTTTCTTTCTTTTCTTTCTTTTTTTTTTTTAATCGCAGAGGAATTTCAGAGGAAAGTTTCGTTTTTTCCACCCCCCATTCGCGATCCTAGCGACGTCTTTCCGAGATGCCAGAGTTGAAGGGGCTGCCTCTCCCCTTCGTCGAGGAATTTCCACTTTCCTTGAGAGCTTCGAGAACGCGCGGACTAGGAAGCTCCGCTGGCCTACTTTTGGTCGCGGTAAGGCGAGACACGAATGCACCGCGATGCATCGCAGTCGATACACGTGTAACACTTCTTCATATTTCCTCTTAGACGCGGAACGCGTTTTGAATATCGTCGTCGTGCCCGAACTCGCTGGATCGATGGTCCTCCGCCCGCTTTTAGCATCCCTTTGCTCCGTGCGACATAATGGATCCATATACCAGGGGTGGGTTTTCGTAGGTGCTGCACCGAAAAGAAAAAAAAAGATCAGTCCTACGTTAACCCCTTCTTTGACTGTTTCATTTGGAAACTATTGAGCTTTGCCGTCTGGACAATTTTGGGAAACAGTTATTGACAAAACTAGAAATCTTACAGCAGTGGTTTCCAAACTTTTCGCTTGTCTAGAACAGAAGAAACAGTTTCACCTGTTTATGCTTTCATTCAGTAGTGAATTGTGACCACTAATTTCGTGTCAGTAAATCCTTTACGCATGAGGTACCAGTATTTCTTCTAGCTAGGGTGCATGTATAAATAGAATTTAAAAAATTAGAAATAAATGAAATGGCAACATTATAACCTTCTTTAGTTTTAGAAACAATTCAGTGAGTAAATGTAAATTCCTTACATTTTTTTGATAGTTAAAATCTCCAATCCTTCCTTCGTCTGACCCAATATCTTCTACGACTACTTCCAAGTGTCTGACCCAGCACGCGTCACTACCACTGCCGTGACTGATCCACTTCTCTCTCCCCGCAATACTAACACTTTCTTGTTTTGCCAAGAGTGCATTAATGTTGCTCCCAAAATGGTTTTTACTTCGCCATTCAATCGCCTTTCCATTTGAAAAAAAAAAACAGATCGACTTGTAAAATTTCTTCTAAAAACTCGACAAATGGAATTCTTAAAATAAAATAAAATGAGAATTGGCCTGAAATTTCAACATTCGTACCTCTCAAAGTTATTTTCAGCGTAACAGAAACAGGGTCACAATCTGAGATCACGAGTTCGGGAACCCGTCGCAATGAAAATATCGCCGCCATTACGCTCGAGCGTAACTCGAAACACTTCGGCGAAATAGGCTCGACGATTTTTCGAGAGAGAAAAGTGGATCTAACCTCTGTCACCCTGCTACGGCGATAATGGAAACGTTACGCAATGGCGACAGGGCACATTTTTCCGATACCCTTGAAGACTTACACGAAATTGCTGTCAAAGAGTGACGACTAATGTGCGTGTAATATATAACGTGTTCAAATTCTATTTCGCAGAAAATAATGTAATATTCGCGCGTAACAATTCGTTTACGTTAATTCTTTTTTTGCGCTCTCATGTTATTTCTCATTCTCAATTGTACAGAGTCACAACTCTTCGTGTACCGAAACGTTTAATACACACATTAAACTAAGACTCGTGTAGCCATAAATAGCAGAATTAAGTTTCTATAGCAACGAGTAATGTACGCCACGAAACAACAGGACGGTAGCGCATCGCACATTTCAATTTGCATAAGGGATAACACTCTTTAAACCGCGGCCTCTTTTTACCGTTAATTATTGTATATCCTCCGCCAGAAAATGTTGCACTAATTAAACACGCTTGTTAAAAAATACGCGCACAATAGCGTAGAAAATAAAATTATACCAAGCGAAAACAGAGAACACTCGTCGTTCCTATGTAGGTCACTCCAGCAATTTTTTCCCTCCGCGTGTTTCGCGTTCGAACTTCGCTCTCTTGCCGGCCAACCGCTTAAACAATCTTCAATCCGTCGGAAAACTGAAGAAAAACTTTCTCCGCGCTTTCATACTGTCGAAAATAGAAGTAGTTCGCGGGAAAATGTGCGACCTACACGAGCATCGATGTCACTGGTATCTGATCCTTAATCCTAGCATGAACATGGGATTTCTCAGGAATTTTATAACGTGAAAACTACTTAAGCTATTCCGTTAGAACATTGTACTATTATTTATGGATATCTACAAACTTTTTACTGTTACAGTATTTAACAGTTTCAAACTGACTGCTTGCGCATCACAATTAGTATTTTAAAAAGGAACAGAATATTAATACACAGAAATAAGATGTATATTAATGATTTCTTTAATACTAAATATTCGACGTTTTGTTAAATTCCATACGATTTACTCCACCTAAATAATGCCTAGAATCGATTCGACGGAAAATAGTATCCACGGTTACTTTATTACGTACTGTCTCCTGTAACATTAGTTCGTATATGCTCGTACTTTTGTATGCGAATACAAACCAGTTTCGAATGCGACACATGCATGCATGATGCGATACGGGGAGCACACTATACAGAGGTCATCTTCGAGAATAGTATTACTGCTTATAGAAAGCCCTGTACCCGTAATACGTATCGAATTCATAAATTCCAGTTTGCGTATTCGAAATGCGATAACGTTAACCGCATTTCCTCGTGATATATATTCTTTAAAGCGATGAATCAGAATTTTATATAATCTGCTGTGGGAATCGCGGTATTATTGACCATTCA